CAGTGTCTACCATATTTATTATCGATCTGTTAAATTGATTTCTGTCACAGAAAGTACATGAATAGACTGATTATATTTACCGTGTTTGAGAGGGCATTTTATTTTTATGATAGTTTCTGATTGTTATTAAACATGCATGCTTTCTGACTTGTCCCCAATTAAAAATGGTTGTGGTTAAGTGTTATTACTCACTGAACTAGCGACTCACTCCCCGCTTTTTTTTTTTTTTTTACAGAAACAGTAGTTGACACGAGCGAGAATTTTGTTAATTAGAGTACACGATTTGATAGTTCCTGGTGAGCCCCCCACTTGTTCGCGTGGGCAAAGAGTTTATTTATTTGTTATAGTCCTTTCTTATGAACTCTTAGAGTCGCTCCATAGTCATTTTTATTAGTGTCATGAGCATTCATTCGTTATATTGGACTAGTTACTAGTATTGTACTTCGTTCCGTATGTTTGATATGAGTTTAGTATTATTATATTGATAAGGTTGGTAATGTTGGTGAAGACTCGTTTTTGGTTTATTGATGAAGATTGTGATTGATTTAGATGAATATGGGTTGGTTGTTATTTGTTTATGAGACAGAAAAACTTTTGGATAGTCCTAAATTAGGGAAAATTCTGTCTGATTTTCTGTAAAATACCGATGAGGCTTACTTGGTGGCACTTGCTCCCAAGCGCCAGTCATGATCCTAATTTGGGTCATGACAGTGATGTACGAGTATCGTTTGACCTAAGATCATCATAGTAATTGACAAGTTATTTACTGTGCTTTGATACAAGATGCATATGGCCCTGAGGCGATAGTTGAAAAGATATTGGGTACGATTAAATACTTATAGAATTAGTGATTGATCAAGATGGAATATGTCAACTCTTGGTAATGAGTTTAAGCTCTATGTTGTCATGAATTATAAACGACCAAACTAAGACGTTGGCCAGTGCAATTGAATGAAAGAAGAAAAGAATTTTTTAGGTCATTCAATGGTCGATTATATTTGACATGAACACATAGTTGGTCGCCTATTGGGATTTGACAGTTGAACCATATGCTAGGGTGACCCAAAGCTATAAGGACAGAAGGAATTACTACATTATTTTTCTAGTGGTTCTTAAGAGTAATTGTATACTTCATTCTATCGATCGTTAAGGAGTGTTGCTAGACGCCACCCTTGATTAGTATATTGATGTGATCAATTTACTATCGGTTTAGTATTGAATCTATGGGGTCGCATACTAACGAGTGTTCTGATCTTTGCTAAATGATTTATTACTTATTATTTTATAATTAAATTAAAGAACTTAATTTGTCAAATAAACTTAGTTATTAGTCCCAATGAAATATTATTAAATTCTTTGCTAGCATAGAGGATATAATTAATATTGTAAATAANTATATATAAAATTAATATTTATTTATATAAAGTATGTATATAAAATACTAATGAAAGACTTATGAATCAAATCCAATTTAGAATTGGACTTTTACGTCAAAGTCCATAATTGGACGAGTCGCTACTTAAACCCATAAAAATGGGATTTGTATTTTACTATAGTAAAATACTAATAAGGATATTATAATCCAATTTGGTATTGTACTTTATGGAAAGTCCATAAAGATCGGCAGTAACGAAATCTCCATAGGAAATTCCATAAAGTTAATTTGTGGAATTAAAACTTTTACCCTAAGTAAATCATTACACCAACCAAATAGAAAAAAAGGTTTATAGGTGATGCTATATAAAGGGTGATGGGGAAAATTTACCGCATAAATTCTTGAGATGAAAAATCACTTTGTGAAAGTGAGAGTGCAACACAAGCCAAGAGAGAAAATACGATTCTTCTATCTTTGAGTTGAGATTTTTGAGAAAAATTTCAACACAATATTTCATTCAATTTGTTCACGAGTTTTATTGATCAGAGAGTTGATAGCAAGGACCGGTCTTGGTGTGGATACGCATAGAGTGTTCGCACTATCGAAGAAAATTCTGAAACAAGGCTCTCTTCACCATGTACGTCTTAGATCTGATCTTTGACATATAAATAAATTTTAAACACGAAAAGGTCTGCGTAGGATTGTTATTGTCTTCCACTGCGTGTTACGAACACCTATTTGTAATCTTTCATATACATGTGCAAATTATGAGATTAATTGCATATAAATCAATTTCTCAGTGTTTGAAAAGCTGCTCATTGTAGTGTGCAGTGTAGTGAATAGAAAAGGCAAACTAATATTACAAATGACAGATGAAGGTTGAAGGTATAGAGAATATGTCCGATGCTTTGCCCTTTTGTCTCCCTTGAGTAATTTAAAATGATATACTAATATCGCAGAAACATTATTACTTACTATAACTTAATCTATAATATTATATAGTACACTTGAATGATTATTTTTTATTACATGTATGATATGATAATTAAGTTCGATTATTAATATGTATATATATATGTTAGTAGAGACTTTTTCTTAAGATCATAAAAAAGTTGTCCTTACATTCAGAAAGTTTTAAAAGAAACAAATTGCGCGAAATTAATGTTAATTTCTCTCGGATTATTTGCATGTCTCTTAATTTGATTAAAGCTGACTTACCATCACAGCATATAAGATTAGTAAACTATTGAGTCATTGAAAAACACTAATATCATATTATAGTTGAATTATTCCTCTACCTTCCAACTGCTACCATTAGTGTTGACATTTGAGAACCTAAAAACCCATATATATGCTCATAATCTCCAATTCTTAAAACCATACTCCTTTTCTCCTCCTCATTTCCAAAGAATAACTCAATATATCTTTCATAATTTCCAAAAATGGTTCGTCCATTAATGTCAAGAAATAATGGTCAAAACTTATGTTCCATGCCATTAGGAATAGGTTTATTTCTTTCAATAATAGCTCTCATAGCCTTATGTGCTAAACATGGAAGAAAAGCTTCAAGAAAATACCATATGGCTACTGAAGAAACCAATGAAGAGAAAATAGCTCCAAAGTCACCACTACTTTGTCCAAAGCAACTAATTACAACTATAAGCAGTAAGACTATGCCCTTCCTTAACCATAAAAAGTATAGTGAAAAATCTGATGAGAAAACTGGCTCGATTGCAAGAAAAGAATTTGGACAAGGTGGATTGTGGCAGAAGGCAATTTTGATGGGTGAGAAATGCCAACCACCAGAATTTTCAGGGGTGATTTACTATGATCCTTTTGGAAATAGAGTCTCTGAGCTACCAAGATCACCAAGAGCTAGTCCTATGGCAAGACCATATGCTTATTGAGTTAACTTTATAGGTAGAAAACTTGTCTCTTTTGCCAATAAATCTTTTCATGATTTTCTCTTCTCTTTTTACGTTACATTAATGTATATATTTGAAATTAATTTTTGTGCATTGGACGTTGGGTAGTTTCACACCCTTGGATTATGATTGTTATAATTTGTTCTGCCTCCCACTCTCACTAAAGGAATATATTGGTTATCTTTTTATTAAGAATTGATCGGTAATTCTCACCTCATGAGCAATATTTATTTTTTGGTTTTGAGTTATTTCCATGAAAGGTATTTGAGTCGGTCTTTCTCAACATCTCTATTCTTGATTTATCCAATATTGGCTCCATGTTAATTTACGTATCAAATATCTAGTTATAAGCGTGCAAGAGTATTAAGTGTCCCATATTGATAGAGGGAGTTAGCTTTCAATCTCAAGCACCACTAATGAGATTTTCTGATTTCAAATCATGTTATCGTTTTTTTAAAAATTTTGAGCGAAAGAAGCTAATAAATCGAAATACAAGGTAGGTATTTGTGTCGAATTCCCACCACCAAGGTAAAAGCCCCGATGGATGGATTAATTAAAAAAAATATGAAATTTGTAGGGCTAAAAGTGAACTTTATTTACAACACTAAAAGAAAAAAGAAAAGAGAAGAAAAAAGAAATAAAGAAATAAAGAAAAGGAACGGGAATGAAAGCTAGCCATTGCGAAGAAAAATTCAGCTTCAGCCAGCTCCCAATATATTACAAGTTTATTATCGGGATAGATGGATCCTTCCCAATGATAGCACGTCATCTTTATGTATAATATGTTAGAAATTGTTTCCATTTAAAATGTCACAGAATACATGTCAAACGGGAGAGATTAGGGGTGTGTTTAGTAGGAAGGAAAATAAGTGATTTTCTTATTTATTTTCCAGTATTTGGTTATTTTAGCGAAAAATATTTTGAAAAATATATAATTTAGGCAAATACTATATGACACAAAATGGGTACGGGTAGGAGAGAGTGGAAGGTCAGGGTCTAAGGGCTCGAATGGCAATGCCGATGTTAGGGAGGAGGGGTGGCGGGGGGTGTGGGTGGTCTTAAAATAAAAAGTATTTTCCTTTGTACCAAACACACCCTGGTCGTTCATTTTGAAAATATAATGTCATAAATATGAATATCGAACAAGACAAGTCTCTCCATCTTATGCTATGTTTGAATACAAGGCAATCTTTTGCGTGTATTTGTTTTCAAAAATAACTTACCTATACTAGTGCGGTGATGAGAATACACATTAATTAAGGGACGAAAATGTGTGTAAAGACTTACATCATGCATTTATTAGTCCGTGCAAATACCGCGTGCGAGTAAGTTAATTTTTCAGAACTAGCAAGATTACCATGAACAAGGCGTGTTAGAGTTTCATTCAGAACAGAAAGAACAAGAGATAGCATGGAGTATAATATAGGAAGGAATGAGCAAAAACCAAATTACAAATCAACGTTTTAGTTTCTTCAAAAACCGTTATGCTTTCTGCATCAAATATTTCAGCAAACTGGAAACAGTTTTTTCTAAGTTTTGTGAATTCTTCTATATGCTACAAGTTCGTAAAGATGGTATGTAATCTGTGACTACTCTGGTCCATTTTTGGCATCAAGCCTGATGCTACACGTCCCATGTATTTCTTAGCCAATGGTACTGAGGAAAGATTGATATGAGGAGGGGGAAAGAAGGTCACTAAGTTAAGAGCCTGCTTTGCCAGCTTCACCTAAATCTAGCATCCGATCAGTAGGAATGTCGAATTCTCTATCATGATATTGCAATAGCGCATAAACAACCTGTTTAGCCCTGGAATTCATAAAATTTAGTGTTACAGACACCATTTAGTCTCAAAAATTGCAAACCAGAAAAAAAAAAAAAAAAAAAAAAAAAAAAAAAAAAAAAAAAAAAACATGCACTTAGCTTGACAAGACTAAAATGGAACAAATAAACTGCTCCACAAGAAAGGGAAGCAATTTAGATGAGAAAGCAATAGTTCCTTCGCAGTTCCCATACATGTATACAGAAAGAGGATTTACCAAGATTCTCACCTCGTACCTAGTTCAATTTCTTACTTTTATAGGTGACAAATATAAATGTCGATAGCTCTATTTAAGGAATAGGAAAGCTGAAGGTATGATGGTAGGACATACAATCAGTGAGAGCTGTTCTCCAGCCAATTGACAAATGATGAATGAACTTCGGTTGGCAATGACTGGACAATTGCCTTGACACATCGGCTTTTACCTGATTTTACACAATTCTACATGGTCTGAATTTGGAAATAAAAACATAAAGTTGACCTAAAACGGAAATACAAGTTCTACATATACAGCAGCTCTTTGAGGAATAAGGACCTGTTTTCTATCTCACTATTCATGTTGCTCCTTGCTTCTGATGTGTTTGATTCAGAAGAAATTAAAGGTATTAATTTTCCTTTACCTCACAATTATCTCTGCTTGAGCACTCTGAAGTCCATCTCCAATGTATCTGTAGTTGTGCTTTCCTATTTATTAGTTTCATAAAATCCTCATTTGTATGCTTCAAATTAGTTACTTCTGCCTTCATTTGGCAATGATTTTACTCTGCGGAAGCACAGAAAAGAGAGCTCCAGAATTAGATAGAACAAGTCATTATACAGACCAGAAGCATCACTGATCAATCAAAATTTTCAGAATACACTATCTCCAATGGTTCAGCAATTGGGAGCTGGACACAAACAAAACAGAGAAAGTAACATCAAATGCAGATCAAATAACGTAAAGTAGAGAATGGGCATTTTTAGTAAAGTAGGAAAAATTGAAGATTGTCTTAAGCTAGATACGATTTACATGAGAACACATATTGGAGAGGTTAACTACTTTAACTCATTCATATTGGAGATGTCACAGCTATTTCACCAGTCATATTGGAGAAATGTCAAATATCTTGTAGACAATATGAGTATTAGGAAGTATAATAGTATATCTCAACTGTCTGGTTAGAATAAACAGGCAATTTCACTTTCCAAACAACATGCATATATTAAATAAACTTGACAATGCATTCAATTTTTAATGGATGAATTATAATAGGATATTTTTATTCATACTCCAAAAATTTTATAATGGAATGTATATATAGGTTTTATTACTTCAACTAACCAGCTATCAATAATGCTAATATACTAGTATTAACTAAATAAAATTCTAGTTAGTTATTCTTGCCAGTTCATGCATCCATGTAACATGACTAACTGCTACAACCTTACATAGTACAACAAAAAGGAAAAAGAATGAAGTCATAGGCTAGCCCCTTCAAAACGAATTGACATAAAACTGACAGATATACTTTCTGATTTCACCAAATGCTGAGGGGAAAAAATGTGAACCAAAGGCCATCTTCCTTGGAGAAAATATGAACTCACAATGAAATTAAGTTTTAGAGGTATACAAGCTATTTGTGCTTATTAATAAACAGGTACCCGCACTTATCATAATATACTCGACTATAAATTCAGTTTTGATAAAGGAAAAATAACGGAAGTATTTATTGTATGAGATATGCAAAAGAAGGCGAAACCGCATATGTACACTAGAAAAGAATACCAAACGAATGAAGGCAACTTCAGAAGAAGCAAACAGCCAGGATATATGTATTTGCACTTGCACCAATATTGCTCGTATGTATCATACGAAGGAAATCTTCAGAAATTGTTAAAAACAAAGCAGAACAAAGCACACAGCCAGAGCCTCTTAAACTCATACTTTTTACTAACCTTCAGTATTGTAGGCACGGACCACAAGTACTTCATTTCCCAAGCTTTGTTGTTCTTCTCCCATTTCCTCTGCAGAAGTGGCAGCAGCTTGGCTACAATTATGCAACTCAATCAGTTTTATTGTGGGAATATCTCCAATCTCTGTAGGAATATCCTCCAATTTATAGCAATACTTCAAGATTAGAAACTCAAGTCTAGGAAGACTTTCACTGCTCGCCTCCCAGAGCACCAAGTTTTTTCGGTTAATCTGTAGCAACTTCAGTTTCTTGAAACCCCCTTCATTTAGATTCCAATTTCTCCCTTGGAATGCCTGAGAACCTCAAGATTGGGCAATTGACCAAGCGTAGTCATATCCTCCCACAATAGACGCGTTCCTACTAGTGTCAAACTCTTCAAGAATGTAGGAAAAACATCCAATAACAGCGTTGGCAGCCTTAATGAAAAATTCTCATAAGGCGAAATATCTAGATGAATTCTTAGCTTCTCGAGATCAACAAGACGGATGAGGCTGTCAATAAGATTAAACGTTACACTACGCCATGGTTGTAAGCAAACAACTAACTTCTTTACTTTAGGGATTCCTGTAAAAATCTCCTTCCAATTAGAATCAGCAACAGATATTGAATCCAGTGTTTCCAAGTTCTCTAAACATAAGAGATTTTGGGCCCGTTTGGACATAAAATTTGGTTGAAGATTTTTCCAAAAACATTTCGCTTTTTTCCGAAATTATCGTTTGTTCATAAAATTTCCAATTTTCACTTGAAGATGTATTTTAAAAATTTTCGAAAATTTGAAAAACTGCAAAAAGCTGTTTTTCAAAATTTTCGCTCAAATCATTCACAAAACTTCAAAAACAACCCAAACTGAAATTTATGTCCAAACACAACTCTAAATTTCAAATACCATTTTCACTTAAAAACTTTTTCACCATTTTTTTGAAATTTACAATTCTTATGTCCAAACGCCTACTTTGTGATTTTGGAGGAACATGCATATACATTCCCCCAGGACACAAATGTCTCAAATTTGGCAGGTTCCAAATGTCCAATGGAGCAAGGTGGGTTGATCTTAGCGGTGAACACCCTCCACTTCCAACCAAGAGGTTGTGAGTTCGAATCACCCCAAGTACAAGGTGAGAAGTTCTTGGAGAGAGGGAGCCGAGGGTCTATCGGAAACAGTCTCTCTACCCTCTTTACTCCAGGGTAGGGATAAGGTCTGCGTACACACTACCCTCCCAGACCCCACTAGTAAGATTATACTGGGTTGTTGTTGTTGCAAACGTCCAATGGCAGGGATAATTGAGATGCAAATGAAATAAAAATTAATGTTTGTAGATTCAGTAGATTGGATATTGATGCAGGAACTTTGTACAAGTGGTACAGGCAAGATATCTCAAGTGTACTAATTGTGTTACCTCATGGGGAAATTTTGAGAAGTAAATAATTTGTACATCTAATACCCTTAGCAGTTGAAAGAAAGAACTGATTGTTTTGTAGCGTAGAGACTCCTCTAAGAAAACATGGCGTTCATCGAGGCACAAAATGGTATGAATTGAATCAGAATTACCTTTCTCTAGATTGAGATCTTTGTTTTGTAAATCTTCTCGATACAAGCATAATCGGCGTTGAAATTCCATTCCATGTGAGAAGACGTCGTCATCACCTAATTTTTGACTATATTTGAATTTTTATCACCTTCTACTATGTAATTACTTTTAGAAATTTAATATATATTTTTTTTAACTTTGTTATATTTTTTTTATATAGGGTAAGAATTAAAAATAATTTAAAAGGTCAAATTATTACTATTAGTATTATTTTTATTTTTTATCTTTATTTTTAAATAAAATAAATTTAAAAACAAACCGAAAAAATAAAATTTGTTTTTTAATTTTCGGATGGGAATAAAATAATAGGAAAATTAAAAGTATGGAATAAAAAAAGTAAAAGTAAAAGTAGGTGAAATTTTTTTTTTAAAAAGTAAAAGAAAGTGGAAAATTAAACAAAAAAAGTAAAAGAATGTGAAAATTTAAAAAATAAAAAGTAAAAGAAGTTGGAATTAAAAAATAAAAGTAAAGGTAGCTGAATTTTTTTTTAAAAAAAGTAAAATAAAGTAGAAATTAAAAAAAAAGTAAGATAAGTGGACATTAAAAAAAAAGTAAAATAAGTGGAAAATAAAAAAAAAGTAAAATAAGTGGAAAATAAAAAAAAAGTAAAAAGTGGAAAATTAAAAAAAATAAAAGTAAAGAAAAGTGGGAAATTATTTTATTTTTAAAAAAGAAAAAAATGGGAAGTGAGAATTATTTTTAATTAAAAAATAATAAACAAATTCTGAAAAAATTCCGAAATTTTTTCTATAAATAGAAAAGAAGAAAGGAAAAATAGAGGAGAGAATTGAGAAAAAAAAATTCTTCTTTTGCGCTAAGTAAATTTCTACTCGTTTTATTATTTCTTTCGAAAATTCAAGCAATTCATCCCCCTGTTTAAGACCTGAAAATGCCTCAAATTCAAGCCTAAAAACACCTTGTGAAGTTTCATTGATAGTCACCTCTCTTACGCCAAAAACCAGCAGCCTCACGAGGTACAGTCGAGTTTCGGTCCGGGCTCGAATTTTAGAAGGTTCGTCGCTAGATTTTCTGCTCATCTGCCGATTTGCCCTTGGTTTGGTATATTTGCTCGACTCAGAATTATTTTTGCATTAATCAAGTTCTGAAGAAAATTTTTTGCTTAAAGGTTCATTGCTTATCCTCCCTTTGTTAATTATTTCATTATTTTGTGTGATGTTCTTATAGAGGTTCATGTGAAAAAATTTTGTGTTGTTTTATTTATACACATTATCATGTTGTAGTTTCGTTTTATATGTTTCAAGCGATTTGTCAACAGATTATTTGGATAGGATTTCATCTTAATGAGATTTGCTATTTAGAATTAAGAATGAAGATCTTTCCATATTAATGGGTCATGCGTTGGAGTTCAAGTAAGTGAACCAGAAATGAGTTACCACATTTAATAGAAAAGACAGAATTAAACATGGGTTGGATTGAGTATAAATCTGTCAGGCCCAATAATTTTGTCACTAGACTAATAATTAGCTCATTCTTCCATAATGGATAAATGTCTCCTAATTTCAACGATAGAGTAGTAAGTTGTAAATATTTATAAGTGTGGATGACTTTTCAATACTTTAAATAACTAATATATTTTCCGACTTCGAAATAATTTCCTATCCATAAACTCTTGGTCTTACAATAATTTTAAATTAGTTTAGGAAAATAATACAAGTGCGCATTCACATGACTTGACCAATCAACTTTAAATAATAATAAATGTGTTATTGATTGTGTACACGTACGCGTAACATGATTCTTCACGCCAAACAAAAATGAGTACACGTACGCGTGACTTATTTCAAGATAATTTTCATAAATCTAATCAAGCAATAAAAGCGGACATAGGTAAAACATGAGAACCAATAAAATACAGGTTACCCAAAAATAATATAAGCCAAATGTACTGAATAAAGCGACCGTGCTAGAACCACGGGACTCGGGGAATGCCTTACACCTTCTTCCCGATCAACATAATTCCTTATCCGGACTTTGTTTTCGCAGACTAATAATAATAGAGTCAAACCTTCCTTTGACTAGGGATTCAAATAAATGGTGACTTGGAACACCCAAAAAATCAATTCCAAGTGGCGACTCTGTAAATAAAATAATCCCTACTCAAATTTGTCACTTTACTTGAAAAAACTCTTTAACCCACAACAATCCATAACATATACTCCCTCCGTTTCAATTTATGTGAACCTATTTCCTTTTTAGTCCGTGCCAAAAAGAATGACCTATTTCCCTATCTGGAAACAATTTACCTTTATGCAATGATTTATAGCCACACAAAATATATATGCCTCATTTTACACCACAAATTCAAAAGTCTTCTCTCTTTTCTTAAACTCCGTGCCCAGTCAAATAGGTTCACATAAATTGAAACGGAGGGAGTATATCTTTTGGGGCAAAAAGAGGTGTGACATAATAGTCGAAGGAGGTCATGAATTCTGCAGGTTCTGATTTTGTCAGTAGCTCGTCTTCTACTAACCATAATCAAACTTCTGCCAACTAGATCTTCTGAACATTCTTCTGACACCTCTTCTGTCTTTTTATGAATAATTGTCTTCAAAAAACCTTCAGCAAACCAAATTTTGATCAACGTATCTGCAGGAATTTCTGTATTTTCGAGGAAAACACCAATGTAAAGAAAGCAAGCTTTTAAGTTACAGGGCAAGTAGTTGTAACTCAAAGCCAATATCTCTAAACACTGCTCGGAGGTTGAGCCTATATTTGAATTCACATTTTCAGCAACGTTTTCCAGTCATCACATGTCCTATTGATATTAGAGAGAACACCAGCAATGACAACAACTGAGAGAGGTAATCCTCGACATTGTTCTACTATTTTCTTCCCTATTTCCTCCAGTTGAGGAGGGCAATCTTCCTTTACAAATACTTTGTTACATAGTAATTTCCAACTATCTTCAAGATTAAGGAAAGGTATGTGATGAGTAAGGCAGTCATTTCTAGCATAATCAGCAACTTCTAAGAGCCTAGTAGTGATCATGATTCGACTTCCATTTTCATCATCGGGAAATAATCTTCTAACTAGGTCCCAGGCTTCTATACTCCATATATCGTCCAAAACTATCAGATACCTCTTCAGTTTTAATTCTTTATAGATATTCTCTAGTAATTGGTCAATGCTCGAGTCCTTGTGGTTCATTTTGCTTTACACCTTAATTACAAAATCTTAAAATATCTAAAAGTATTGATCTTACATCATAATCTTGAGAGGCAATATGTCACGACCCAAAATCCCACTACAGGCGTCGTGATGGCACCTAGTCTCTAAGACTAGGTAAGCCAATTTCTATTACATTTTGAAGCCATTTTTTTTTTTTGAATTAAAATCTAACAGCGAAAATAATTACAATACACAACCTCCCAAGACTGGTAGTACTGAGTCACGAACTCTAACTGAATACATGGAATGATCACGAGGACCGAATATACAATACTGTTTGATTACAAATTAACAGTATAATGAAATGAAAAGACTCCAAGGGACTGCGA